ATACTATACCTTAAAAGAATAGAGAAGTTTTGAAATTTATATATAATTCTGAGTAACAATTATTTCCCGAATTTCATTTGTAACTGATGTCGCAAATTCAATAGAAAAATATCTTTGCTTTTAGAGTTTTGAACGCATCATAAAAATGTTTTTACCAAAATATGTTTTTTCTTCACATCCGTTTAGTGAAGTCTCAAGGTATTGTTTTCAAATTATTTGTAAACATTTATATTTCTAAAGCTAAAGAGAAAAAGAATTATTATTTTTTCTTTTTACATCTGTATTCGTAACTTTAGTCTCTTTGCAAATAAATGGTTTATTTTTCTTGAAAAAACTACCTATTTACCTACCTATCAAATTCCATTAGAGTACAAATTATTTTATTTCATAGTATTGTATTTTTAATTTGATTGAAACTAAAATTTTTTAGAGCATATAACTCTAAAAATAAGTAAAAAGTATATTTTGCGAAACGCTTGTACATTTAAAGAAATGAATCGAGTTTCTAATACTAAATTTAGACAAAAACATTTGAAATTATTTATTTTTAAAACGACAACGAAAAAAATTATAAAAATAAAAATTTAACATTTAACTTTTTCTGGTTTTTTGAAAAGATAAGCAGTGCCTTTCAAGAAACCAGGTTTAATTTTCACTTTGGATCAAATTTTAACTTTTGACCAATTTTTTTGAAGATCGTGTTCAAATAAATCATAAAATGATACATTTTAGTTAGTAAAAGCATATTCTGGAAATATAATTTTTATTTCCCATAAAATCTGGTTACGCAATCATACGGTAAGTTACTGCAAAATTAATTAAAATTTAATAAAGCTTCGAGGTGAAAAAAATCCCTAAGAATTCACTTTCACTGAAAATGACTCTTCCCTTTTTTAAAGTAATTACATAATGTCTATGCATACAGGTCGATAAAATCTTTAATATTTCATGAAAATTAATTGCTTGAAATTTTTTGATATTTCATTAAAATCACAAATATTTATTATTTCATCACATGGATGTGTTCTGAATTTTAAGAGTGGCCGAGGCCTTCAAACTGCACTATCAAAACTATCAAATGGGAACTAAAGTTAGATTTAACCAGGGTAAAAAGATCTTCCTCGTTTGTGGAAAATGCAATATCTCGAATTCCGCACCCATTCACTGATTTCTAATTTACAATCCAACGGCTTTTAGCGACTCGCTCTCATTTTTGAAGATTTCCCTCTTTGTTGGAGTAGAAGGCAATTAAAATGCGAGCCATTATTTATTTTAAAATTTGTTACTTAAACTGAAAAAAAAAGTCTGAATTCATGTTTTTTTTTTCTTCTTTTTTTCTTTTTTTTAAATTTTTTCCTTTTTAATACCAAAGAAGAGAAAGGGTCGTTAAAAGCCACTGTATAGAACAATTGCCTCCCGATCATCTCCTCACCTGCCTTGAACTTGTGAGGGAAGGTTTGAAACAAAAGACTCCTTCATGCTTTGGGTTTTCTGAATGCATACGGACTCATAGCTAGTTTAGCTTATTATCTAGACCAGTTAAGATAAGAAACAACAACGTTAGCATTATTTCATCACTTTCTTTTTTTTCTTCTTAGTTTTAGTTTCATTTGAAATATATTTGTGTTCATAGGTAAGAAGATTTTTCAGTTATTGAATATCCCTAAAATGTTTTAGTTTTGGCTATATTATTTAAGTACTTTATAATAATACTACCAGATTACAAACTTTTTCGCTTCAAAAATAAATAAGCAGGAACTAACAGTCGATATGCTTTAAGCGCCCAAAAACAGGGGCCCATTTTCAAGACTTACCAAATGCGAATGAGAAGGAAAAAAGTGATTTGAAATATAAAACGTAAAGTTGCCAACGAAAAAGGGAAAAATAAAGGTCAGAAATAAAAACAATCTTGATGCCCTGGAATCTTGTTTTATGCATATAAATGCTGATTGCCTTGTTAACGACATTAGTTCCTCACCAGATCCCCATGGCACGTGGAAATGCATTTTACCCTGATTTACCTTTCTCGGTCACTGTAGTTTTTCTTGTTCTGTTTTTTATCTTTTTTCTTTCTCGGCTTATGTGATTTTTCTAACTTTCGCTTCTCACCTTTATTTTTCTATTTTTCGGCGGAAGCTTTAAGTTCTTTTTTTTTTGTTTCAAATCACTTTTGTTTCTTTTCACTCACGGCCGGCAAGTCTTAAAAAATGGGTGCCTGTTTCTGAGCGTTTTAAGCACGTCGATTGTTATTTATTATTTATGTATATTTGAAGAGAATGAAGTCTTTAATCTGCCCCTTCAGTTTCTTAGGATTAATTTTTAAACTTTATTGGTTAATCCATGAAATATCTTATTTCAGATGCTTTGAACTGCTTTTTTACAAAGTATTTAAGCAAGGTTATAGTCTAATAATTTTTAAAAACAAATAAGATCCATAGTTAATATTCTCTGAAATGTCTTAGCTTCTATTTCAATAATTAATTAAGCAATATTTATAAACAAGAAGGTGCCCTATGTAGGACTTACTTTTTTCAAATTTTATAAACTTAAGTCAATACTTTTACATTATTTTTTTAAAATCTTTTTTGAATCTAAGAAAGATGATTTATGTTGTACATCTCATTATTATCAGAAACTATCAGAAACTGTCAATTAAGAGTTTAAAACTCTTTGTTTCAAATTTAAGTAAATTGAGGAAGCTTTTAGCAATTGTTTTTATATTTTTTTTATTAATGACTGACACAATGGAAGATTGAGTTACTTAAACAACAGGAAAAATAAAGCAAAATCGACGAAACTATGCGTTTATGTTTTTTTTTTTTTTTTTGCAATAGCTTTTTTTTAACATGAATAAACAGGAATGTTATTTTTTCCCAACATAGCTCTTTAGAATTGATGTTCTTATTGTTCTTTCAATAATGATACATGAATTTACTCTAAATGTAGCATAAAAAGAGTTTAAATCTCATATAAATATTATGTTTTTAACTATACCCAGTAACAAGATTGAACAGGTGTCACAGGAAACCTTGTATATAAAACCAAATTTATTTAAGAATCCAAATAAACCAAATTGATTTAAGAATTTTAGAACACTAAATATTGAATTTTTTTTCACTTCAAATAAAATATTTTAAAGAATTGGTGCTTTCATTGTTCTTTCAAAAATGATGCATAAATGGACTCTAAATGAAGCTTAAAAAGAGTATGAATATCATACAAATCTAATGCTTTTAACTGTACCCAGTAACAAGATTAAACAGTGGTTTCAAGAAACCTTGTGTATAAAACCAAATTAATTTAAGAGGAAATTAAATAAATTTTTTAAAAGGAAACTAAATTTTTTATTTCATTTCAAATAAAATGTATCAAAGAATTGGTGGTTCTGTCATAATGTTACATAAATTGACTCTAAATGTATCATAAAAATAATTTAAATCTCATACAAATCTAGTGTTTTTAACTTTACCAAGTAACGAGTTTGAACAGTTGTCGCAATATTACCTGGTTTTTTGGTATTCCCATAGAGTCAGAAACATTTGACCACATTCTGGTAGTTATAACCATACTTTTTTTTTCTCGGAATATGGAGCCATTAATTTTTATTAAAAATCCACATGCAAGATTTCATTATTACACACAACAAAATTTTCTCCATGTTGAATAATCATTCAGTTCGGCTGCCTGGTTTTATCAAATTTTAAACAGATTTTTTGTTTCGATTACGATATTATATTTTATTGCTGATACTAAAATTAAAAAAATGAATAAGAAAAATATTATTTTGTTGAAAAAAATAGTTTTTTTTAAGGTAATAAGGATTTTGAATGTCATGTCACTGCTCTTTAAAGCATTGTTCAGTTACTGCAGAGTTGGTTTTTTAAAATGCAGAACTAAGTAGGAAAAGGCATATCTAACTTCGCCAAAAGGACTAAAATATTTATTAAAATGATTCTTATAAAGAAAAAGGCATTTTAATGTCTAAATAAACAAAGAAAAATACAATTACTTTACAGGAATAATTGTTAAAATAATTTTAAAAACTAAAATTTATATGTTATGATGTGCAAATTATTAAAAAAAATGAACTCTTGAAAAGAATTTAACTTATAATTTTACAATATTTCTGAACAAAAAGTTGACTTACTTTTTTCTTATTATATTTTATAGATCCTATTTTAAATCATTATAAATTAATAAAGTTATAATATGTACTGTAAAAACTACCATACCAAAATACAGCAGAAATTAATCGCATTTTGGGTGCATCATCCGTAGAATCCATCTAAGCGTAACATCCATTTTTAACGAAAAACATTATACCGTACTCTTCACACTAATATTTATTTTGTTAGAGTGATTCCGTGATTTTACTGTAATTATTACTGTAAAAATTGTGGTATATCATATTTTTTATTCAGTAACATGTTTTATGGTTAAAAAGTAACGGCATCAAAAGTGCCGGTACTTTTTACTGCAACTGATCGGGAAATTTCTACAGTTTGCACAGTGGTGAAATTCTTCTGTAGAAATTTTGCCGCTTAAACATGTAATACTACAGTCAACAAAATAATGTATTAATTACTTAATCAAAAGTCTAGTTAAAAGTTAATGTCCTTTAATGTTATTATTGATTTTTTTTATTCCCCTCCATACTTCTAGAACTAATGAAACATATTATTAAATTCTTGCATCAATTTTCAAAATATATATTCATCATGTAAAATCTGTAAATTTTGAAAAATCCATAATCACATGTAAAATCTATAAATTTTGAACAGTTTGAAAAAATGAATAAATTTTATAAAAACAATAAAATATTTATTTAATGATCAAAAAATAATGAATTGTAAGAGAAAAATTAAGGTTTGCTTATCACACTATTAAGTTTTTCCGTATGTAGAAACTCACAATTAATAATAAAAAATTATTGACTATACACATTAGAAAGGAAGCATTATTGAATTTAAAAATTTCGTCCTTTTTTTTTAATTTCTTAGTCATTGATGCTACGGGTAAGATACCATCAGGAATACTGGAAGGAACGTCCGTTTCACTTGGTGACTACGATGAGTGTCTTGATATTGAAGTTGGCAAGAAGGATGTGCAACCGAAGAAGCCAGACGATGTTTTATTCCGGGGTCAATACTGCTTACTTGAAAACCACAGACCCGAATCAATACAAAGAGCAATCGACGATTTTCAAAATGGAAATAAGGAAACACCAATTTCTAAAACCAAAACTGTAAGTAACAGAAAATTTTATACTAACTATATTTTTTTTTGTCTGTTGAATGCGTATTTCTGGGATAAAAGTACTGAAACACTAAAATAATGGCTCATAGTGTTGGGAATGTTAGAACTAAGTGAGACTAAAATTACGTACTTTTTCTTAAAATTTAAGTATTTTCCTTTTTAAAATTTTTTATTGCCTTATGAGAAAATTATTTTGCCAGAGGATCATCATGCATAAAATAATGAAATAATACAGTGATACAATTGATTATAAGCAACTAATCATTAATAATTGATAGTTGGAAGTTGATTATCAATAATTTATTATTAAAACTTCATTACTAATAATTGATTTTTAAAAATTGATAATTAATTCCCAATTTTTAGAATTTAACTATCAATAAATTATTATTAATGATTGTTAATAATTTTGGAATTAATAATTGAATAAATGGACATAATTTAGCAAAATTCCTTTAACGTGTGCGCTTAAATTAAATAGGGTTTTAATGTATAAATATTGACGAAGTACAACTGTATTTCAATTAAATTCAATTAGATAATGGTTTGAATGAAAATGAAAGCTACGCATTTCTATTTATTTCCCTCATAGGTATTGAATTGTTTTGGGAGCTTAGAGGACATAGTTACTCCGAAAGATTTTAGCGTGCACCAGTCACCATTTAATAAACGGGAATTCGTCGGCCGTCTGTATTCGAACACATGTCCTAACGAACACGGGCTAAACGTCCTACCAATCAGGCTATCCCGACAGAGAATATGTAATCCATACACTTTCAATTCAGTTTTGAAGCTATAAGAAAGTAAATTATTATCTACAGATAATTTTTATGTTATAATAGATTTTATGGATTGCTAAATATTATTTTACAAAGAAACATTTGAAATGTAACGCGAGAGTTATTTTCTGAATCGTAAATACTCTAAGATATAAACTTTGAATTGAAAATTAGTATACATGCATCGATTTGAACAAAAACATATCGTGAGACGTTGAGACTAGGAAATTACTACAAACTAAGCTTGTCTACGTATAACATTGGTTTTTTTAATGTTACATAGAAGTATATAACTTTAAATTCTGAAACAGATGATTGATAAACTTCGGTAAAATGTACAGTATGAATTTTACAGTATTTGAAAAATGAATTTTACGATAAAAAGTAACGGCACTCTGTGCCGTTACTTTTTTACTGCGAAACCCATGTTTTACAATTCGGAATTTTTGTTGCTTGTTAGTTTTGCAATTTTGTAGTTTTGTAGTTTGTATTTTTTTTTTTCACTCAGGAGATTTTAACGCATGGGATAAAAATCAACGTTAAAAAAGAAAAAAAAAACTTAAAACAGAAGCAAACAACATTTAGTACGTAAGGGGTTGAACTTGAAATAATTTGAAATGTAAGAATAAATTTAAGATTACGAAGATAAAAAAAACAAACCTATTGGAAAAATAAACTGGAAAGTAATTCGGTTAATATTTCAATTTTCTCTTTTGTCAAAGTTTTAAGGTAAAAATTGTAATGGGATTTTCTGATATTGCGAAGGATCTAACTAAGCTTTGAAGAAATTGAAAAGCATTAACATTTGAAATATACTTTTTTAAAGCATTAAAAATATTTTCTCAACAATATTTTCAAAGAACAAAATGTTTTAACAAACAATGAACAAAACATTTCAAGTTTTATGACGAATACAACAAAATTACTATTTTAAGCAGTTTAAACATTAATAATGTATGGTGCTTTTTTTTGATTGTTTTCTTTTTTCTTCTTTACAGCGTCAGTAAGTTACACACTGCGTAAGCAATATTCGGTTCTAGAAACCAAATATTTCATATTTGCCCGCAAACTATATAACAAGTATGACTCAAGGTTATCACGAAGTCCTGAGTTGTTTTCTCCATGGTATTTACATTCTTCCTTGACAGCAAAAAAATTAAATACTTGGAATATATACCACGAAACAAAATATAAAATTTTACACTAGTAAAACACTGAAAATTAAAAAAGATATGTAGATACCAAAAATATCAAATCAGTAATAATGATCATTTTTATCGATCTAAAATACTTTATCTATTGCATAACTTGCCATAGTTTGGCTGCTGATATTAAAAGAATTACAATACCTCAAATTATCGAAATTCAGTTTCGAGACACTATTGTCACTGAGAAGGTAAAAAACATAAATTGAAAGGTTTTAAAATTGTAAAAAAAATCTAAGAGAAAGAAAAAAAGTATGGTCAAACAAACAAGAATGTGATTAAACTTTCCGTTTTTATGACTTCATGAAAACACCATTAATGTCTGTAATTGTAACCTTTGTTAATGCTTTTAAGTAAGACTAACAACCAAATATGGTTTTGAAATATGTGGTAATAAAAATTATAATTTTGAAGACAACAATTTTTGATAAACAATTACATTTCGAACAGAAATATTACTTAATGAACTGCTTAAAATCCGTATTTTTTTTGGCTTTATTTCCCAGCAGTTTTGTGTTTCTTTCACCGGAAATGTCATTGCCATATGATACAGTAATTTTACCTGAAATTTTTTCTTTCTGTAAAAATGGATGCAATCACTCACGAGATAAGCTATATTATTTTTGGGTTGGAAAATTTTGAAATTAAATTTGATTGGAGGAAATTAGGTATTTAATTCATAAATTCAGATAATACATTTTAAAAGAACATGAAATAGTTTCACAGTTTGAATATCGCCGTTTTTGATTGACGTGCAGGTTGATTTTTTTTGAATACGTATTTTTTTTATCTTACTTGGTTTCTTAACGTACACTGTAACAAATTCAAGATCAAATAACGATAAAGAGTATCGGCATTCAGGTTGCCTGTATTTTTTACAGTAAAATCAATTTTTACCGGAATATATGTTAAGGAACGAAACATATGATGAATCGTAATTTTTAAAATTATCACTTTAAATCAATAAATATAACTGTAAAAAATAGCGCATAAAGTTTTACTCTAAAAATTAGATTTTACGGTGAAATAAATTTTACGGATAGTGCACCCAAAGTACCGGTACTTTATACCGTAATATAATTTTTAATTTTCCACTGCTCAATAATGAGTATCATTGCTTTTCTGTTGTTATATTCATATATTTCTAACCATTAAGATTTGTAATCATAACCGATAAGTCCGTTTTCCTCTGAAAACTTAAAGCTTTTTTAGAATCTCTTTCATAAACACTTGTTGACTTCAATTTTTTAAGTCACATGAAACTGCTATATAAATGTAAAAAAAATTATACTAAATGATTAAGCACTGTTAGAAATTTTCCAGTAAAAATGGTTAAATAACAATTTACTTGTTATTTTACCATATTCAAACAAAACAGTCAAATAACCATAAGTAAGATAATATTCAAACTGTTAACTGTGAGAGAAATCGTTTATTAACTGCGGCACCAACTAGGCCCACCTAATGCAGCGACGTAGTTCCTTAAAGCTGCATACATATTATAGCCGAGAGAACTACTCTGTGAATCTCAAGGCCGTCAGAACGGGGGTTCGATTCTCGGCGGTGAAGTCGCAATATTTCCTAACCACAACTCAACCACTACCTAACTCCAATGCCCATTACTAAACGAAAAGTCTAGAGCCAATGTGGAGGTTAACTTTCTTTCTTACGGTTTTGAAACCATGGTTAAAAAATCACATAATTTTGTATTAATGGTTTCTTAACCATACTGGTTTTAAAGCCAATCGGTTCATTTTAAATCATAGCATACAAGGCCGCTCGCAATAGTTGACGTGAGTGGTGTTATGCTTGTAGACAGTATGAAGCGCTTAGAGTTGTTGTTGCGTCTAGAGTTTTTTTCCAGGGAAGGTTCGCAAGTTATTGGCTGTTTGCATGGTGTATTAAATTGGTCAGAAATCGGTTTTACCTCACGGTTTATCAAAACCGTAAAGCGTACTTTAAATTTTATGATTAATTGAATGGACAGACTGCTTATGGTAATGTTACGGTAATTTTAGAATGAAAATTCTAACAGTAAGAAATACATTTTAGTAGTTTAAAGTAGATAAGAATAGAAAGTGCTAACTGCTCATACTCATCTCTACTATGATGTTATTCTTAATGAGAAAATTATGAAGAAGTTAACAATTTAAAACTAATTTCATTCGAATGAAAAAAAATCTAAAGTTAGTTTTTAATGTATTATTATTAACAATTACGTTATTATTACATAATATTATTCGCAATTTTATCGTATTTTTATTAACATTTTTATATTTAAGTTTAATGAAAAAATAAAAAAATTATAATATTACTTGTGCTTCAATTTTTATTTCAGAAAATGTTTACTATTCATAAGTCAAATTAAATATATTTATTACATTGCCTTCATAATTCTTAATTTAAATTAAAAATTATAACAATCATTAAAGCAAAAAATATTTACCCCTTTCTTTTTTAACTACCGAATGCATACAAATTTTAGGGGTACCCAAATTTTAGTGTGTATTTGTTCATATCAATACAGTGAACAACTTTATGCTATTGATTTACATTTTTACTTTTTATTTATAGTTTTTGAATATGCTGGTAAAATACAAACACTTGACTAATTCTACGTTCAAGTTGGGAATTTGCGTTCCATCTAAATGTACCGAAGAAGATGTGAGAAATATACTGAGTTCTGGTAACTACTTTTCTTTATTTCAATGTTTATTTTATATCAGAAACAATTTAAATGCATTATATGTTTAAATTATTTCCTTTACATTTCACTTTCAATTTAAAAAAATGTACTATATTTAATCCGAAATTTTTTTCAATTAGCTTATTCTTTTAAGAGATGCATGACCTTAAAGGCATAAGCAAAATAGAACTTGTAAATTTTAATTATATTATTATTACTACTATATTTTTCTAATTATTATAGTTTAAAGAGGTTTTAAGAGAGCGGCTAGGTTTCACTAATTTTTAATAGGCACGACAAGGTTTGATAACCATTCTGCCTTTTGCTTCATTATTTAAATTATCTAAATAAATTAATATACTATAACAAGTATTGCGAACTAACTGAAATAAATAATCTTTCAATTAGTGAAAAGGTTCCGACAGCTACACCAATCTTTAACGAGCGGACAAGATAAAACGATGTAAAAAAAATTTTATACCAAAATGCATTTATGAAACAAGCTTTGAAACTTTAAACTAATTCTCCTACACGAGCTTCGCATTCCATCATTAGTTAACTTGATTTGAAATATACTTTTAGTGTAAACTATAAGATTCCACTCCGAGAGTCACGTACCCAATGGCGCATATTAGGGGAAGAAATCTTGACTTCGGAGATCTTGTTTAGAGACCGAAAGATACCGAAGTGAAAACTTTCGGTATCGGTTCAGTTTTCAAAGATTGCGTTAGAGGACCCACTAGTTTTATAACCAAATTTGGCGCTATATTGCTGGTTTTAATGAGAGTTGGACAATCCAAACTCGACAGTCATTGACCATTAGCGAGTTAAGTCAGGAAGGTTCGCCTTTTGAGTGACAAGAGAGCACCACAGGGATGAATATTGGCTCAGAGCTCCACGGATAGATGGTAGCATTAGTCATTCGTGAGGCTACTTTTTCATTTCAGACATAGATCTGAAGGGAAAGATCCCTGTACCCATACAATCTTTGAGTTCAGCGACCGACCACAGAACTTTCGCTTCTACAGATGTTACGACTACGTATATCACATGCTCTCAGTGAGTCTCAGTGGATCGGATCTCGGATCGGACCCATTCTCCTAAGTACTGGACTACTTCGATTTGGTGTTATTTCGATTGTTAGATCGTGCTACAGATGTATCCAAGTTAGCTCAATTTAAATATAAATACACTGCACTTTATTGATTGATGTTTATTACATAAAAGTTAGTGAAATAAAATTCTGTTCATGTAAATTAACGTCAAAAAGCACGAAATAGTTTATATTTATAAATTGTGATTGTTTAAAATGTGGTTGTTATACAATGTGAAAAAAAAACATTTTGAGAACAGAAACTCTACGCCCAATTGGAAAGATTGAAGTCTCATACTGCGAAGTAAAAGAAGAAAAGGAAAAAACAAATGGGGAGCTCATTTTACTGTAAGTAATATTCTTAATGATATATTTCTTTTTGTAGTTCATATAACTTTTATTAGAAAGTCTGTGTAGTTTAAGTCTATGAAGGCAAATTTCTCACTTGTAGCGTTCAGTGTTAAAATCAGCGCTATTCATTTTTTTTTAAAAAATAGATTAAGGAAAAAATATTTTTCATTGCAATGCTTTATAATACATTAAGCTTAAATATATTATCTTTAAAAATATTTTCTGTTACCAACTATACAGACTCTATTTTAGAATAATGCTTAATATTATGACTCATTTCAGATGTGTTGTTGGAATATTTGTAATATTCATGATTGTAGGAACAGTATTGGACATGTATTTTAGATTGATAAATGAAAGCACTCAAAAGGAGAAAACCAAACCACTAAGTAAATATTGCAAAAATTATTTTCGACGAATTGAAAGCATTTTCTTGTTTTAATGTTGGGGAAAACAACTGAACTGTTATTATTCTCCGTTTTTCGAATGTATTCGTAGTTTTCCATATAGTTTGTAACGATTTTCTTAAACGCTTTCAGACCTTTTTTCCGAGTTACATTAAAATTAATTTAATGCATTTCCTTCTATCCTTGAAATCGCTTTAATGTATGTTCTCATTATGTTTCAATTTGCATTTTATTTTACCTGATTGGATACAGTTAATTGTTTGCAAATAGATTTGATTAAGTCGCTACGTCAGGTATTAACCATGTAATTTTAAAAGCGAAAGACTTTTGGGAGTTATGTAGTGACCTCAATATATTTATAGTGACTCGCAATTCTAAAATGAGGTGTTTCGGTGGCTTGAATAAACTCGCAAATATTAGTAATCGCATAAATGCCTTCAAGTGGGAAAGTAATTTTTCCAATCATCATTTTTCACAACTTCTCTACGATAAATTTTACAACCAGTATACTTAAAATTTATAGACATATAAATGAGTTATGGAATTTGATGGTATTAATACTGTATTTTGTAATTCGTTAGAGACTTTAATTTCGTTAGAAATGTCAACAAAATCTGCTTTAACCCTTTGGTGCCGATATATTTTCTTTCTGAGACTCTAATTACAAGTAAAAGTATATTTTGGTGATTTTTAATTTTAAAAACAGTCTGCTTGTTATTAAAAGAATTTGATAAATTATCGGAATTATATTTTTACTAAGCAATAATATCCAAAGAACATTTTTTTAAATTTTTTTTATTCATGTTCTAAAATTTACAGAAAATAAATTTTCCAAATTAAAGAAATTTCAATGATTAATCTTAAAGAAATTTCAAAGATTTGATCTCAATAACTACTAATACGTGCGAATTTGAAAAATTGTGGGATCATTTAGCGATACAACATCAAGATCTAAATTTTTAATTATTTTTTTTTCTCATTCATTATTTAATTTCTTCAGAACTATGACTAAAATAGCATAAATTTCAAATAGAAAATATAAAAAGCACTGTAATTTTCTCAACTTAAATATTTTTTCGGGTCATTAATAATCCCACTAGGTCATCCAAAACTTGAAAAGTTCTGCAATTAGTTTCATTCATTATTTAGGTTGCAAACAGAAAGAAAATTTTAATAATGACAATATATAAGCCTATATTTAAATATCGTTCTCAGGGTTTTATACTCGGAATTTTTCAAATTTCATTCGTTTATTGGTAAAATAGGTCTTGTTTTGGGTTTTATTACGTGCACGCTTTATTTGGACGTCATGACACGCTTCAACTGAGTTCAAGAGTGATAGTAAACAGCGTGCATACGTCATTGCATGCGTTGCTATGGCAACCACTGCTGTTTGATAATTTCCTTAGAATTCTTTTTTTCGTTTTATTTTCAACAGCAGTCATTCTTAATGTATTTACATAATAAAAATTTAAAGTATTTTTTAAGTTATTCTTATTATTAACGTATAATTACTGTCTCGGCGGTGATTTTAATATGAATACTGAAGAAGGAAAAGTATTTTGTGACATCTTGAAACACGTATATAGCCAGGATTTGAAAACCAATCCGACGACAAACATCAATTGAGACAACCAACTCATTTGCAACCCATGATTTGAAATGCTGCGGCGTTTATCGGAGTCAAACCAGAAAAAAACGCATTCGACCAATGGGTAACCAGTAATCGTAATAAAGCTATCACAATTTTTTTCATTATACTTTTGATTTTAATGTTACCTAATGTTGATTACGAAAATATAGGTCACGCATTTTGAAAATAATTTTAACAATTTCTAATACTTTTTCTTAAAATTTTATTCCAGGAAAGCACGATTTTACGGTGAAAGTATTAATTTGAAAATAAAATGTGACGTAAGGTAAAAATCTCATCGGACAGTACTGCTTGATAAAAACCACTTGAAAGTTTTTGAAATTTATTTCAAAATTTTTAAAAAATCATAATTTATTTAATATGTAAATTCAAACCATAAGTATTTATACAAAAATATTTTGTTCTACATATTCATTAGCTTTTTTTTAGAAATTTTAGGTCTGTAAGTATTCAGGTCTTAGACGTTTTTCCAACTTTTCCAACTGCCGGTAAGAGAGATAATTAAGGAATTTAAAGTAATTTAATATCTAAAGAAGCATACAATTTATATAAACTAGTAAATTTTCATTTAAATATTTATATAGTCAAATAAAAAGTTTAGACCTATTATGTGTGTCTATTATTCCCTAATATTACTTAACATGATTATTTCGGTAAACTACTTTGATATGACGTAAGGTTTTAAAACAATGTTCAAATAAATTGAAACAATTATTTGGATTTTTGCAAAATGTTTTTTATGCAATAACTGATTTAAAACTATTAACTGCTTATACACTATTTAAAAATTTTTTGGATCAAATTTCGGCGAAGAGTTACTGCTCTCAGTTTGCTGGTACATTTTACTATAAAATCCATTTTTACTGGAACATATGTTACAGAATAAAAAAAAATTGATATAACAGACTTTTTACAATAATAATTACTGTAAAATCCCAGAATCTTTATAATTAAATAAACAATACTATAAAAATTACGTTATAATATTTCACGGTAAAAATGGATTTTACGGAATGAAATTCATTTTTACTAGAACAGAATAAAAAATCTGCTATACTCTACTTTTTATAGCAATATTTACTGAAAAATCCCAGAATTCCTCCAATTAAATAAATATTACTATGAAAATTACTGTGTAATATTTTAAGGTGAAAATGGATTTTACAGATAATGCTCCCTAAATTCCGGTACTTTTTACTGTAATTTGATTCAGAATTTTTAAAAATGTCAACAATTACATTAAATATATAATTTTGATCATATTTTTTGTATATTTTTCAGCTTGTTTACAGAAAGTAATAAGTAACTCATCGATTTATGGAAATGCTATAAAAGTCTTAAGTACGAAGAATTATCATGAAAATCTCTCATGCCTTTGTGCGATTCGCCCAATTGTTGTTATTTTAATAATTTATGGCCATACCTATGGACATCTGAACATCCTGCATTTCCAAAAATTCAGTAAGTACTTTGCTGAAACCGAAAAAAAAATATTTTAATACAAAATCTGATAAATATATAGAGTGTGTTGGAAAAACTTAGATATATGGGGAATAAAAGAATAATGAAGGAAAGTATAGTGGTTGAAAAGGTGAAGATAATGAAAAGTGAAGAAGTTACATACATTAGCAGTACATAACATAAAGACATAATGAATGCATAATACATAACATACATACATAACATTGTAATTTATGTAAAATGCATACGTTAGCGAGTAGCAATGCAAAAGAAATGTAAAAAAAAAGCATTTAAAAATCGCAACTAATAATATTAGATTAAGTTAAACAACGCCGGAATAGCCTTGTTGGTAGGGCGTTTCTATATTACTGTGACAATAGTCTTATTCACAGGGAAGAGATAAGTACATGGATTTAGAGAAATTATTCTTGATAAAAAATATAAACATTGTCTCATGGTAACTAGTTCTGAAAGTAAAACTGGTTTGTTTAGTAAAATTAATTCTGAACTTTTCCGAAACTTGCAACTCCACCTCTTCATTCAGGAGTTCATTCTCTTTTTCAGAGTTAAAAAAAACTACCCCTTTTAACTCTTTTTCAGAGTTAAAAGGGGTACCTTTTTATCTCAGAATGTTTATTACATAAATAAAATTATTTTCTTTTTACAATTTTAAATAAGTATGTATAATATTATTTATGCAGTTTTCCTGCTGTTTTTTTTAAATCATGCTAATAATGCCCTTTTTACACCTACTCATCTAACTTAATTGAAGAATTCAATTGTAAAAAAAAGCGTCGTGTTTTAACTCCGTTTTTTTTTTTAAAAAAATATCGTTTTTTGATTTTGTTCTTTCCTGTTAATCTTCTTAACATCTTTAGCATATATGTTATTGTTCAGGTAATATGTTTTAGGAAAAGTAAACAAACACTGACTGTAGTTCGATATGAAAAAAAAATTTAATGGATATTTTTCTCATATTAACTCAAAATGATTGAAATTAGACTTAACCACTTAATTAAATTTGGAAATTAAATATATTAACCTTATTTTAAAACCAAGTGAAGCAAGAAGCTTATAACTGCATTTTATACACCCCTGATCTCCTTACACCCAACTACAGTTTTTTGATATAGAATTGACAGTAGAATTTCATCATAAAATATTTTTGAAAATATTTGGTATAAATGAAATATAGCTGTGAAAGGTTTGCGTTGTTCAAGCAACAATTTTTTTAAATCATTTTTTTATTGCTAACGAGCATATTTTAGGAAAAATGTTTCTAAACCGTTTGCTATTTTAGGAACTATATAAGGAAATAAAACATTGTAAAAAATTTCGGATCAATTACGGTTTAATGTTCTGGCACTTTCCGTAAAATCCGTGCATTTTCTTAAAAATCCGTAAAATAATGTACCGTAATATTTACAGTAATGTTTATTTAATTCAGGAACTTGGTGATTTTACGGTAATTATTGCTGTAAAAATAGCGGTATATCAGATTTTTCTTCCCGAAAATGTTTCTGAAAAAATGGATATTACAGTTAAATGAACCGACACCCTGAGTGCCGGTACTTTGTACTGTAATTTGATCCAGAATTATTCACACGGTAGGAGTCACTGGTCCCTTAATTCTCAAAAAGTTATAATGATTTTTTTTATTATTATGAATCGTCTAATTGAAAATATACTACATTGTCTACAATACAAATTAAAATAATAATATTAATAGTCGAGCTAAATGCAATAAACGTGTCATATTAATCATTGTGGAAACAGTTATATTTGAAAAAAATATATACATTTTAAATGATTTTTGTAGGTAAGGCAGTAAATTTCACTCGGTTCTTTGAAAGTTTCTTCTTCTCTGGAATAGCAAACGCTTCTGTAGGAGTAGATACCATTTCGTTTCTAGCGTAAGTATTATATTAGTCTGTAATTCTATAACTATTGTTAAACTATAACCACAGTTGTTTAATAAATAAAATCAGAAATTACATAAAATACTGAAGTTCTTAAAAAGAATGTAACTATGTAGAAATTTTACAAAGTTATAATCATGTAATGAAATACTTATGCCCTAAACTTTATTCTAATTGAAATATTGCAGCCCCACTAGCACTGGGGTTTAGATATTGCACTGTGCAAAATTACAGATCAAACTACGATTTAAAGTACCGACACTTTGGATGCATCATCCATAAAATCCATTTTAACCATAAGATATTATCCCCCTATTTATTATTTATTCTGATATTTATTTAATTAGAGTGATTCGGTGATTTTACGGTAATTATTTTTGTAAAAATGTCAGTATATCAGAGTTTTGTTCCGTAACCTGTTCCATTAAAAATGTATTTTACGTTAAAAAGTACCAGGCTTTTTATCATGATTTGATCCGGAATTTCTAACAGGGTGGGTTACTGTTGTGAATTACTTTGTTTCTTTACCCGATAGAACTTAAAAGACCCATCCAATTTCTTATGGATGAATACGAGATATAAAAATAAATTGATTTGGTCTTAGTTTATATCCGTTAGTTGTTCTATTTTTAAAGGGGAATTTAAAGTGTGATTTTTACACGAATAAAATAATAGTGTATTGTTAAATTTACTAAATGTTATTTCCAATAAGACCGATTTTTCTTTTTAAAAAAAATAACAGAAATAAACTATTTAAAACAGTTTTTCTAGCAATAAATTATTTACGTGAAATGTTGACCACTGTCTATAAGTTGCAGTACATTATAAAACATTAAAAATAATGTATTCAATGTCTTATACCCGGTAGCACGTGCTTCAGATGAGTACAATATCTGCAGAATATTTTACCCCTCAGACTTTAAAGAAGAAAAAAAACATTGGTAGCAGAAAAAATTGGAAACAAGTAAAAATTAAAGATAAAGCGGAAAAAAATTTAGATTTTTATTTAGAAAAAAACATAAATAGTTTTTTTTTCTAAAAAAATATACCAAAGAATTACATTCAATTTAAATTTTTTAGGTACTTGTTTGATTTGTCTAATAAGTACCTGTAATTGTAAGGAAATGAATTTCATTTGAAAATTTTTTGAATAGGTGCTAATCAGAATAACATAATCTACAATTCTAGCAATTTCTACCTTTAAACTCAAAAAGATTTAATTTTGACATTATCATTTGCAAACTCATTCTTAATTATTGGACTTAGTATAAGCCTTTTTTTTCCCTTCATTTTGAGAAAACATAAAGTATGATTGAGTAAGATTTAAACTAAATTTAAGCATAAAAGTTTTGTTCATAACTGCTTTATTATATTTAAAAGCTGCAGATTATACCAAATATTTTGCCAGATTAAGCTTAATTATCTGTGTATAACTGATTAAAAATTGCAGACAAATTTGATTTTTTGAAGATTAAAGCTGCAGATTGACTTAATATATTCCGCTGCAGGAGACTTAAATAAATTAACAAGTTTAAAAAGTTATTTTTGCTTTTATTTATTGATTATATTTCTTAAATAAGAATAGTATAATGAGATGTAATGTTCTAACTCTTACATTAAAATACAAAATAGAATATACCACTGTGCATTTATGTAATGTAAAACTGTTTTGAATAAACTATTATTAAAATCGGTTTAGTTTTATTTTAAGGTCCCTACTGATTGAACGAAATCCGGAATCTGAACAAGATTCTGGATAACAGAAAAAACATGGTATTAGAGCTATTTAGTTGCTTTATTTTTCCGTTTATATGGTTTCAATACAACCATTCCTAGAAAGAAGACAATATGTAGGGAAAAATTAGAAGAAAATTTAAAACAAGATAATGTCGATAAGTAGTTTTTAAAAAATATCAGTTAAAAAGTTAGCTTTCTTTATTCAAGGAAAAGTTTCAGGAAATCTGATGTTAAGATAGTTTTGCGTACTACTTCTGACACTTTAAACTTGTATTTTGATAAAAGTATATATAAATGATTGTCTGTCTGTATGAATAAGAAGAAAATATTTTATACTTGCAAAATATTTTTAAAAGATTTGTCTTGCGTCTTTCAAAATAATATCCAACTCAAAATACATAGAGTCAAGTTCATCAAAAAATTCTTAGTTTTGAAAGTAAATTTATAACCTAAAGGGTTTTACTTAAATATTAATTAATTACATGCATATTTTACCTGTAGAAAGAAAATTCTTTTGAAATTACCGTACTGTATGATAATAGCATTTCTGGTATGAAATATAATTCTGGTTATGAAATCAAAATAGGAAATCAAATTTGAACAATTCAGTTTGTTGATTTTTCCGATTGTTAGGAAAATGGTTTAATGGAAATTTTCGTTTAATAAATTGTAGTTTTTATTACCACACACATAGTAAAAAAAATAGAAAAAAAAATGTAACCAAATATCTTGTTTTTTTATGCCATGCTTTAATATATCACGATGAAATTTTACCTCATTTACCAGATTTTGTTCACATACTATAAAATCAGGTTTTATTTTTAATTTTACTGAACTCTTTCTCAAAACGCATTAGAAAAAAATTACTGTACTTTTTTGCGTTTTCGTAGAGTTAAAAACGCATTAAAATTTACCATATTTAGCTGGTTTTTCCATACTTTCATTTTCAGTGAATTATTTTCCGAATTTTATTTTGTAAAAAGGAAAATCCTGTAGAAAAAAACTATTCAGCAAGTTGGAAGAAAATTTTATTTTTTTTAATGAGTACATAAATTTTTTTATAATAAAAATAAGAAAATAGTAATTTTTAATGCAGTTCAGTTTAATAGGTAAAACATTCAGTTTAATGGTAAAACATTAGAAATATTTTAAGAACATCAAGTACTTTGCTAAAATAGAAAAGTAAAAGTCCTTAGTATTAATGAAAAATTCTGTTTGTTCTTATATTTAATCACATTTTATATCATGTAATGAATTAAGCAAGCAAATTCAGATTTTCTAATGTAAAATTGTCTAATCATGTGCTGCGCTTGCGTTCTTCAATGAAGCTATACATACATACTAATTATGCATATCTACTCTGTTACATACTTCAAAAAATATATGTCTGTATGAAATATGTAATTAATGCATAGAAAAATAATAATATTGAAATATAAATTACCTTCATTCTTTTTGCAGAGCAGTTACTATTACATACAACGGGTGGAGATATTTGCAGGAAAAAGAGAAAGCAAAATTCTCTTTAATTAAAGTCTTTTTTCTCAGATATTTTAGGTAGGTATAAATTTTTTTATAAATTTATTTACTTTAAATTATTTTATTTGCATTATCCTTCTAAAAATTTTCTCTAAAAACTGCGACATTGTCAGTTAATGGGATATGTTTCTTAAAAAAATTGTTTTAATTTTTGATTTATTAAAAAATTAATGTAAGTATTTTATGTCTGCTAGCTTAAAAAAATTTCCTGTTGTGAACGCTTAACTCAACTATAGCCTAAATTAACATTTTAATTTCACTTTTATTTATTCTTGTATGTAATTAGCGAAAACATTTGGTGATACTACTTTTTAAAACATTGGCTGCATTTTACTCTTAGATGCTTGTAGTGAAATGTTTTACTACTNTTGCAAAACAGGTAATTTATGTTTCTCTTTTATATTTTATATTTTTTCTTAAATAAATATTTATTTTCTAAAATTATTTGCGGTCAACTTTTTAAATTATCCAGTATAATATTACAATGTGCACATCCATTTTGGGCCCATCCTTGGCAACTAACAAATCGATGCACAGCATAACTAACCACTTCAGCAATGCAGTAAGAACGGCACTTTAAATTCCTCTAGTTACACTCGATTTGCGCTTTTGTTTTCATATTTTGTTAGTTAGTTAGTTAGTAACTAACTAACGAAATATGAAAACAAAAGCGCAAATCGATTTGTAATCTGGCAGTCTTGTTGCGAAAATATTTTTAAATCATTCTTGAAAAATTTCCCGTTCATGTAAGTACATCTGATTTCGCTACTCGCTTTATAGATTTTGTTTTATACTGTTTTTTCTTTTTCTTTTATTTTATTTTCTGTTTTTACGTGTAATTTTTACTTATTGGGTCCTATTTTATTTGTTGTAATTTTTGTAAAAAAAATTTTTTTGAGTGCTCCTCACACTATTGTATTAGTATATTTTGCTTTGGCTACATTGATACAATATCAGAAAGCACTCTTTTTTGCGGATATAATCGTGTGGGCTGATGAAAAGATTTTATCTTTTATTTTCCGCTTTTTTTAAAAAATTTCATCCCTTTTTTTTTTTTTTAATCAGTCGTTTGTCATTTTTTTCATTATTCCCCCCCCCTTTTTCATATGTCTATAACTTTCCTTTATTTTATCTTCACTCTGAACTTATACTTTGCATCCATTATATATATCCATTTTTTTTAGATTATCAAGCGCACAACTAGTGACAACGATCCTGTTTTTATTATTTCCACTTTTGGGCTCTGGGCCTTTATGGCATGGTTACACCGGTCAGCCATTAGAGATGTGCCGTAAAAACTGGTGGATGAATTTCCTTTACATCAATAACTTTATGAAATCAACAGAAATCGTGAGTATAATTTAATATGTATAGTTTTAGAAAGTATTTCTTTTGAATTCATTTAAGCATAATAAGATTTGAATACTCCGAATGACATTTAAACATCTATCCACTATCTTTGTTACTTTACTTTTAAGTCATTTGCTCTCAAAACTAGTTCATTTTTACCCACTGATAGAAACAGGTTTCTACTAGTCGTCTTAGCTTCGTATATTGCATATTTGTAAATTGTAAATTTCTTATTACACATACAAGAGTGCATATATATGCATGCATACCACTTAGAACACTAATTCATGTTTTAATTTAATTTTAAGGTAGGAAATGGAACAGTAAATCTTACTTACAAAACTTACAAACTTTACTTACAAAAGCTCCATTTGCAATAATCTAATGTGCCACGTTTGGTGCACGTTGCATGGGCTAATATTTAAAAAATGTGTTGTTCAAAATTGAAACTACTAGTTATAAATAACTCTTTCATACACGATAACAGTTTTCTGTGAACTGTAATTTTTTTTTATTTCTAATATATTCAATCTCACTTCTTCTCTTTGTCACAAATTTAGTGTTTGTATCATACATGGATTCTTGCTCTAGTTATGCAACTAACACTGCTGGGAGTCATTATAACATGGGTTCTAAAAAAGTAATCACCTGTTTTTCAATTCTATTATTTCAAAATATATTTTGAGCTAATATTTATTTTGACTTTTATTTGTATTATTATTATTTTGTTGCTTAGGTCATCCAAATTTGGGACATTGCTGATGATACTTATAATAATATCTGGAATAGTTGGAGTAGGAGCGATGACTATTATTCATCAATTACCAGGAAGCCTGGCATTTTTTATGCATGACCATAAGTAATTTTAAAAAATGAGACCTTTTTCTTAATATATGCACATATTGATTATGAGTTATGCAGTTGATATAATTTTGTTAATTTGGTAAGATTGTTTTAGTAAAAAAATATTACAAATGTCATGTAAATCGTATATAAACTGCTGTTTGTTGAAAATGCAACACCATGAAAGAATCATCAGAATCAAATGAAATTTAATGCAGAAACGACTTGTACTGATACAAATAAATGATGAAATTTTCAAAACAAAAGAAACAAATTAAGCGTCCGAAATCAGTATTTGGTGCAGCCACCACGCGCTGCAATAAGTGCTGCTATACGACGTGGCATGGAGTCAAACAGATGTTGAATATCTGCTTGAGGAAGAGAATTCCATATCGCTTGTATGCGCAACCAAAGTTCGTCTTTGGAAACTGCAGGACGCGGATCACGAGTGAGACGCCGACCAACCATATCCCACACGTGCTCAATAGGCGACATATCCGGCGAATAAGCAGGCCAAGGAAGAAGTTGCATGCGTTGTGCTGAACAGAAGTCTCTAACAGTCCGCGCAACATGTGGGCG